CACATTCATTCTCCCAACCACCACAGAACCCCTGGATGGGGAATGACACCTGATGTCAAACCAGGGTCCCCAGTGTGCAGCATGTCCTGAGGGTTCTTTTCAAGTGGTTTCAATACCAAGAATTTTATAAATGTCTACCTCATAAAGTATGTGAACTCCAAAATAATTGTAATACCCAAAAGTTAATGATGGATCTTTCTTTGCTGATTTTTTTCAAGATATGCACAAATTCTCATAATGACCCCATGAAGTAGACACAATTTTTTTCCCACATGACAAATAAGGGAACTGCAAATAAGGAGACGGTCATATATCTGGGACAGGGAAGGTGTGGTATTTTTGACACCTGTATCCCTCATATCAAAACCCATCATTTATTTATTTATTCATTTGAATGGCGGGACCAAAAAAGGAGACAGAAAGTCTTCCATTTTCTGGTTCATCTAAAAATGACAGCAATGTTACTGGGTTAGGCTGCACTTGATCTTAGCCCAAAGGCTGAGAAGCGATTACTGGGTTAGGCTGAAGCCAGGAGCCAGGAATTCTATTCGTGTCAGCTACTTGGGTGACAGGAACTCAAGTACTTGAAACATCATCCACTATTTTCTAGCTTCTATCAGAAGCTGAGTAGCTAGAATACCAACTGGCAACCCAGACATTCCATGTGGCAGTTTAATGCTGGATTACAGTACCTGTCTCCTAATTTATTACACATAACTGTTACAACCAAGTCATTAACAAAGCTTGCTATTAACAAGGCAGTGCCAACATCTTTCCATTTAAGGCTGAATAAGCAAAGCATTCTACAAAAATTTCTTGGTAAATTTCAATTAGATATGTTTTTGGGGATAGACTAACAAAGTGCAGTTTTATCTGATTTAAAAAAAAAACTTCCTTGTATTACAATCAAGCTAACACATATCCAACATATCAATTTTGAAAAGAGAAAAAACTGGATGGGTATTTACCCGTACAATTGGGATGACCACATCCCTTTTTCTCAGTTCTTGGATTTGATGTCTAATTCCAGTACTGACATTACTTCCTGGTAAGGCGGATCATGGAAAATGACCATGATGGATTCCTACCATCCACATGCTAGACCTGGATTGAGCTCCTAGTGTCAGCCCTGGCCTACTCCTAGCCATTTAGAGTAGGCCAGGAGATGGGAGCAGTTTCTCCCTTTCCACCCTCCCCCTTCTCATCCTCTCCCATGTCCTCTCCCTCTCTCTTTCAAATAAACAAACAGAAATTAAGAAGGGGACGGGGAGAACATAGAGTGGAAGGCAGCTAAAACAGATTATCTGATGGTGAGATCTAAATTTTGCCCTCACAACTGCCAAGAAATGAAAGATACTGGCAAACTCAGGTTAATATCACATCACAGTGTATTTATTCTTCATGGTCTTTGAGCTGGGATGTCCAAGGTCAAGGTTTTAGCTAATTCACTTCCCTACTGCAAACTCTGCTCCTTGCAGATAGGTAGCTTCCCTTTCTCTGTGTCGTTCTGTAGTGGAGTGAGAATAGGAAGCCTGCTCTCTGGTGTCTAAGCTCATGACGTCACTAATCTTAGTATGAAGCCCCCGCCATCTTCCTGTAAATCTAACTAACTCCAAAGGCTCCATCTCCAAATACTATGATAGGCTTGGGGCCTTAGCACATGGATTTGAAGGGACAGAATTCAGACCGTGATTGGTAAAATATGAGCAAGCTCTAAGCAAAAAGTATACAAGGACTTGATAGGAAACTGTGTAGCATAACAGAGGACAAGTTTGTAAACAGTCTGCCCAGGGTAACCAGATTATGGATGGTCTCAGATGCCAGACTGTGGAGTTTAACAATGTCAAATAAATGAACTGGATCAAGGCTAATTACAAAATGTATTTGCTGAGCTATTACGAGGTGTTTTAATGACTGAGATAATAGAAATTGCAGACAGGATGCCTTGTCCCATGTGAAGATGCCACAATTGACCACATCACAGGACTCATCTGTTTTTGAAAGTGATTCAGATGGGTAAATGAAAGTTAAATGGACATAACAGTAAAACAGGCTCAGAAAACACCTGGGATAAAAGAAATGCACACACACACTTCTCACAGGGCCTCTTTTTCGAGCAAACGTCCTCCATTGAGAAGATAGAAGAAAAGGGCAGCTTTGGGCAGCTTTATAGCTACGGTATCTACAAAACTATTGGATGGAGGCCTTATATTAAGAAATATGATGAATATAGCCTCTTCTCTTCATCTTGTTTTCTTCAACTTAAGGAGTAGGCACTCTTAAAAAACAAATTGGCATTGTGGATATATGTCAGCTAGATTATAGTAAAAAGAAGTAACTGTACCAGGCAGAACTGCTAACCATTGAATAGTCCATCTTTTACTCTTTTTAACCACTTTTCCCCTTTCCTTTTTCTCTTCCCTTTTCTTCTTTCCTCAGATTCGTCTTCCTTTCCTTCAATAAAATGTTTTCTATGTAATCTGCCTTAGTCATGGTGGTGGTATTAATGGACTCTGCCTTTTGGGAGCATACATAAATAATAAGATTAGCTACTCATAAAATATATCAAACAGAATGGCAATTTTACTGGATCATTTTTTCTGCTAATCAGTTTCACTTGCTTCCTCTAACATTTCTTGTTAGTTCATTAACTTAACAAGACAAAAGAGTACTGAGTGGATGCAGCACAGTGAGAAAGGCAAAGGGGCCTTCTCATTCAACCAGAGCCTCGATTATTTAGGAAGTCCTTTATGATTCATTAGTTAGAAAAATTTGAGAAGTCACCCCACACCGGTAATGATAACTTAAATCTCAAAAACAGAGGGGAGTTGGGTCTGGCGCAGTAGCCTAGCTAAATGTCCTCACCTTACATGAGCCAGGATCCCATATGGGTACCAGTTCTAACCCTAGCAGCCTGGCTTCCCATCCAGATTTCTTTCTGTGGCCTGGGAAAGCAGTAGAGGATGGCCCAAAGCCTTGGGACCCGGCACCCACATGGGAAACACGGAGGAAGCTTCTGGTTCCTGGCTTCAAATTGGCTCAGCTCCGGCTAGAGTAGACACTCGGGGAGTGAACCAGCATTCAGATGTTCCTCTCTGTCTCTGCCCCTCTCTGTGAATCTGACTTTCTAACAAAAACAAAAAACTCTTTAAAAAAAAAAAAAAAAGAGGAAAAAATTTAGAAGAGTTACAAATACAGGAGTTGGAAGGAGTAAAGTTGAACAAAATGAAAACATATTAGTTTTCAAGTCAGAACATTCAGAGACTGAACCTTTCTAACAGTTTGAGGCATATCCAACTTCTTATTTCACAGGTCCATAAGCTCTACATGTCTAAACCTGTGAACAAATAATTTTTCCTTCCATATTAGGCCATCTTCTCCTGTATTCTCTATATTGACCAAGAAGAAAAGAAAAAATTAGTTTAAAAAGTCAATAGAAAACTCAGTTCTTGTAGCACAAGTTTTCACCATGTACTTTAGAATATATATGTATTTATACACAGTGGTCAAATGACATGTAGTTAATGATATGATTTAAGCTCATAACAATACTTCACATCCTATCTTCCCTCCTCTATCTTTATTCCTTTTCTTCCTCTAACTTTTACAATGGTGTATTTTCATTTCACAATCATAGGCTTACCACTCCATTAGGTAAAGGTTCAACCCATAGCAAGTAAATAAAGAAAAAAAAAAAACCCCACAAAACCACTATTTTGTAGGAGTAAATACAAAGGCCGTAAACAATAATCATCATACAGGTTTTTCTTTTGGACTCTGTTTTCACAGAGCAGGGAAAACATAGAATATTTCTCTTTTTAGGACTGGCTTATTTCATAAGGGTTTATAAGTTGTATCCACTTAGTTGCAAAAGACATCATTCTATTTTATGGCTGGTGGTATTCCATGGTATATGTGCCTTACATTTTCTTTAATCACCTACATTTTGTGTACCTCTAGAAGGAATTGAGACCGTGGGCCTTTCTGGAACCTATGATGTACAGCAGTAGATTAAGCTGTCTGTAAAAGCAGCAGAAGATGGTCCAAGTGACTTGTGTTTGGCCCAGCCCCAGCCTTTGTGGCTATCTAGGGAATAAACCGGCAGAGGGCTCTCTCTCCAATTCTGCCTTTCAAACAGTAAAGTCAGTCTTCCATCCGGGATTCATTTCTACAAGTGGTTGTAGTGACAGCATTAGATTTGTATTTTTTGAAGTTCTGATGTTACATGGCCCTTTATTTTACTTCATGAAATGGTAACTGCAGTTGAAGATGCATTTGTATTTGTGTGATCTGGGGATCTTACTCAGCAAAAACAAAGTACAGAACAAGTAACGTTGTAACTATGAGCCAGGATTCTTCTAAGCGCTTTCTTACTTTTACCAATGTTCCTTGGAGATTTTACTGAACTTAAGAATTATCTGGAACTTTGGCTACCACCCCCTCTGTCCCAGATTCTGGCATCAGCCAGTATCTAATCTTTAATTCTCTCTGCAATAATCCAGACACTCAGTAGCAAAGGTCCTTAAAATACAACAAATGTGATTCACTCATTGAGTCATAGCTTGCGAATTACTGCTTAATTTCTTGAGATAATGGGACATACCTCGGTTTTCATAGGTTTTACAGAATTGACTGAGTAAACTGAACACAACCTTGTTTTTATTAAAAGAGTTCCAATTTTTGCAAATTGGGAATTGTCTCTATTCTTTTCAGAACTACCCCTTTCCACTTGCACACCTCATGACAGGTGTTTATCGCAACTATGTCCAGTGTTTTATGAAGCACGGGGTGGGTTAAACCCTTCAGTTTCAAAAGAAGCAACATCAGGTTTTCACCTTGCCCCCACCATTTGGTCCTAGAACCCGTGTGATTCTTATTCGATTTGGGGATTGCCTCGTAAAGAGCAAAGTAACCACTGGCAGTTGCGCTCCAGAGAGGGGCGAGGCCGGCTGGTTTCCGCGGTGCCCAGGCCTGCATGGGAGCGCCCGGGTAGAAGCCTGCAGAGAACACACGCGCCTCCCAGCCTCTCTCCGGCCCCGAGCCGAGCAGCCCGGCGCTCCCCGGGAGCTTTGTGTGTGCGCTGGGCTCCCAGACTCACAGGCCCCGGAGGGCAGCTCCACCACCGCAGACAGGACACGCCTCAGCCCGGGCGCAAATTCCCGGCCTCTTCTGGCCTCCGGCCAGCAGCCACCGCCCGCCACCCCGTCTCCACCGCCGGCACCGGGGCTGCCCCGTCGGGCGCCGAACTCGTCTGCGCCCGGGCCCACCGCGCGGTAGGGACGGCACCGATGTGGCGCATGCGTGCTGGCGCCACCAGGTGCGGGAGCTGCGGCGGCGGGGACAGCGGCGGCGGCCGAGGGCGCGGCGGGCCTGGGCGTCCGGGCCGCGTCCGGGGAGGCGGCGGCGGCGGCGGCGTGGGCTGGCGAGGCCGGGCGGGCGGCGCCCGACAGCAGCTGGAGGAGCGGTTCGCCGACCTGGCAGCCAGCCACCTGGAGGCCATCCGCGCGCGGGACGAACGGGACCGGCAGAACGCGCGGCTGCGCGAGGAGAACGCCCGGCTGCGGCTCGAGAACCGCAGGCTGAAGCGCGAGAACCGCAGCCTCTTCCGTCAGGCTCTGCGGTTCCCGGGCGAAGGCGGCGACTGGGCGACCGCGGAGGGGACCCCAGGCCCGGAAGAGACCGGCACGAACCGGAGGCCGGGAGGCGGCGACCCCGAGGATGAGTCGGGGAACCCCAAGGCCCTGCGGGCCCGGCTGGAGAAGCTCGAAGCCATGTACCGTCGGGCCCTGCTGCAGCTGCACCTGGAGCAGCGAGGACCACGCCCGCCCAGGGACAAGGAGGAGGCGCGGGAGCCCCCGGAGCCCGCGCAGACCCCGCAGACCCCGCAGACCCCGCAGCCCGCGCAGCCCTCGCAGTCCCCGCAGACCCCGCAGACCCCGCAGCCCTGGCTGTAGCACGAGGCGGGGCCTGGCGCGGCCCCTACTCCGCCGGTCCCGGGCCTGGCGCACACCGCGCCCGCCGAAGCTGGCTCCCGAGCGCTCGGCCAGGTCCCTCGCCCGCGGACGCTTCCGGGAGGCGCCTGGCATGGTGCCCGCGGCCCCAGGGAGGGTGGACGGTGCCTGTCCCCGGGTCCTCCTCCTCCTCCCCACCCCCGCCGTGAACGGAGCACCTGCGCCTGGCGAGGCTACTTTCCGTGGAGCGAGGCCTGGTAGCACAGGAGCTGCTTTTGATTAAGAACTGGGTGCCAGTAAGCGCCTCCAAACTCCTACGTACTGATGTTGTAAGGGCCTGCTGTGTTTTCTCCCATGTGTTGATGTTTAAGCAGAAACTAATGCATTTTGAGTTGATTCACATTTGTTTATACTTCAAACTCCTGGAGCCTCCAGCTGCTGTTACCTCTTATGTGGTCAACATTTTGAGTATTTGCTTTTATAAATCAGCATTAGTTGGAAATCCTATAAAAATATCACTTTTTATAAAGAAAGTAATACTTGTAACTTAAAGTTTCATGTCTGCCCCTTTACTGCAGTTTATATACATCAAATACATACTGCTTGGTTTACCCCCAGGGAGTTTTTTAACTATGGTTGATACTTTGGGTTGTTAAATAAATCCGATTACCTTTAAAAGAAGCTAAAAGCCTCCCATGACTATTATTTGAAGCGTGTTACATTTTTTAGACATTTCTTTTACTATGTATATGTGTAGGTTTATATTTAATGTTTTCAATATGTATCAAGATTAAATAATGTAAGCATTTTTATTGCATTCTTGACAATAGATTTTAATCAGTGCCTAAGTAATTGCTTTATTTTGACTGTTTTCAAACTTAAGGAATTAGGTTTGTAGGTCAAAAGCCAAGTGAACATATTCTAATTTTAATGATTAGGCTGGGATGAAGAATGGGCAACCATGTAGATGAGACTGATTCAAAAGCACATGATCTATTGCTAAGAAACTCAGGAAGGAACAGTAGTATGGATTAAAAAAAAATGGTTATTCATTTTTATCTATATGGAAGGCAAGGGGATAGAGTTCTTTGATCTGCTGGATGACTGCCCCGTGACCTCCAGTTCTGGGTCTCCCACATGAGTGACTGGGGCCCAAGTGCTGGAGCTCTGGAATGCCTAAGCCCGAAGCAAGGTAGGGAATCTGAGTGCTGGTAGGGAATCTGAGTGTCCCAAATGGTAGGTTCACTTGTTGTTCCTCATGCACAACCACCCTAGGCTCTTTCTGCCCTGTGTGTGCAGCATCTGGCCCAGGTGTGGAATTAGACCCCTTCGGCAATGCGGGGCTTGGGACAAGCTATCGGCAATGTTAAGTCAGAGAATTTCTTTATGGGCAGCTCCTGTATGGAAGGGCGAAAGATCATTATAATTTTAGATTGTCTTGTGGGAAATGAATGTAGTTTCTTTGGAAAAGAGAGTTCTAGTTTACATGGCTTTTGGGATTTAGGAGAGCAAATGAAAGAAGAGGTAAGAAAGAGCATTTCTGAGGCCTCTCCAGGGCCCTTCAGTTCCAAGGACTCAGCATGTCAAAGCACCATGCTTTGAGACATTTTTTTTTTTCCTCTGAGCTTCAACAATGTTTTGTGTTTAAGAGAGTAGATAAGTGGCATAAGACAAGGGAAAAATGGTATTGTTCTTAGGGGAATAAAATGTTTGTAAGTTATATTACAAATACTGTTTACAAAACCATAACAGTAAAATAACTTTTGTGATTCTTCTAGATTTAGATTTTGAAAACACTTTCTAGTTTTATAAAAATGGTTCATATTTGTGAAAAATTACCATCATCTGTGGCCAAAATGTATGAGAACTTAATGAAGAAGAGTAGATATGTGAAAATCTTATTTGCACTGCCAAAAAAAAAAAGACAAAAGAAGCCATTTCTTAGGAGGTGATAGACACTGAAAGAATCACAAAGGATATCTGTCCTACTGATATTGAACTGTAGCTTTAGATTTAAATTGATCTCCCTAAGCTTTGTTTTTCATAACTTAAGTTGGCATCACATACCCCTAAAATATAAAAATGCTATTGAAGTAAAATAAGCAAATAGCCTGCTTCAAAGTAACCACTCAAATGTGATACATGGAAGTTTTATTCATAGTTTCCTTTAAGTTCTCTGCTGTGATGCTAAATGACTTAAAAAGAACTACAAATTTATTTGAAAGTGTCACAGAGAGGTGCGGTGGGGAGACAATGATTCATTCCCCAGGTGTCTGCCAGTAGTGGGCCTGATGGAACCTGGAGCCGGAGCTTCCTGTAGGTCCTCTGGGTCTGCCACACAGGGACAGAAGCCCATGTACTTGAGCCGTCTTCCGCAGCTTTCTCAAGGACAGTAGGAGGCAGTAGAAGTAGAAGTGAAGCAGCTGGGAGTGCATTGGAGGCAGCCATAATGCCAACCCCTACTAGGTGACTTTGAGTATTAGCAGACATATGTAAATGAGGAGATAGTTTTCACTTATAAGCAGAGGAGATTAAATGTAGTCTATACGAGAATAATACAATATAATGTTCAAAAGCATTTGCTAGATTTTGGAAATACAGGAATAGTCAGCAATCAAGCCATTTCTAGTTTATAAGTTCTTTTTTGAAAATACCTTTCAGAAAATGTGAACTTATTTGTGAGGTAACACATAATGGTTTGATATATACATATAGGTGTATATATATAGTATATAACATTCATGTCAGGATAAATGTGAATTTTTTTCAAGTAACTATAACTATGAAGCATTCTGAGTTCTTTCTTCTACCTATTTTATCAGAAAAATATTCAGGAAGTGTTTCCTAATCCTTAGACTGGCAAGACCAATAGACTTCCAGAACTATCAGAAACAACTACACAGAACCCTCTGAACGTGTGCCACAGCAGGGTTGATAGCAGGAAGCCATTCCCCATGTCAGGGTACTCGGGCAGTGGGAAGGCTGGGTATGACTCTCCCCTTGTCTCCTCCCATCCCGCCAAAACAGGAAGAAGAAACAGAAAAATTGGGAACAATGATCACACCCACTTTTCCCTCCCACCCCAATCAACTATCATCTAAAATAAAAATAAACATTTTTTTAAAAAGAAAACTGTCTAGTAAATGTCATTTGCAGTGATTCTACTGTAAAATAGTTTATCAGGACTTACTGTAATTTAGTACCTCTAAGCAAACTTTCCTTATCCCTGCCTTTCCTCCTGCTCTCATCCTCTTCTAACCACCATTCTACTTTCAGCTGCTTTTAGACTGGCTTTCTTCAGATTCCACATATATGAGAGATCATGTGGTCCTTGTCTTTCAGTGCCTAGCTCATTTCACTTAACATAATGACCTCGATTTCCATCTGGGTTGTTGCAAATAAAGACTTTATCATTTCAAATGATTGAATCGCAACCCACTGTGTATTTTTGTGTGTTGTCTTGATCCATTCATTAGTTGATGGATATTTAGATTGTTTCTCTTTCTTATCTGTTCTGAATATTCCTGCAACAAACATGGGAGTGGGGATGATTCTTACTCAAAGTGATTTTGTCTCCTATGCTTGTATGTCCAGCAGTGAGATTGCTGTACTCTGTGGTATTTTCACTGTCAGTTTTTAAAGAATTCTCATGTGTGAATTTTCAGTATGTATTATACCCATTAACATATAAGTGCTCTGAATATGTGAAAATACTGTCAAAAAGTAAATTAGGAGCCAAATTGTGGCATAGTAGTTTCAGTCACTGCCCATGAAGCTGGCATACCATATGGCATCAGTTAAAGTCCCAGCTGATCAACTTCGAGTCCAGCTTCGTGCTGGTGCCCCTGGGAAAGCAGCCAAAGATAGCCCAAGACATGGGCCCCTGAAACCACATGCAACATGGACGAAGATGCTGACCACAGATTCCTGGCTTCAGCTTGGTCCAGGTCTTGATGTTGAACAAGAAGTTGGAAGATCTCCCTTCCTCCCTGTTTTTCCTTCTCTAACTTTTAAAATAAATTAATCACCCAAAAAGTAATTTAATTATAATTCAATTTAGTAAGCTAATTTTATTCTTGATAATGAGGTAAATAATCCTGTAATTCTCTAAGAGTACAGCCTATCATTTTCCTCATTTGAAATTAATCAATGTTTTTTCCAGCATTTCATATTTTCAAATCTCTCTTTTAAAAAGGAGAAAAAGACTACTTATTTATTTGAAAGGTAGACTTCCAGAGAGAGAAGGAGAGACACAAAGGGAGCTATTTTCCACTAGTTCATTGCATAAATTGTTAAATTATCTGGGACTGGGCTAAGGAAGCCAGGATCATGGAATTCCATCTGAATCTCCCATGTGGTTGGCATGGCTCAATTTAGCTGGGCCTTTGTTCATTGCTTTCCTAGGCTCATTAGAAGGAAACTGGATTGGAAACGAAGCCTCTAGGAGTGGAGCTCGTGCTCATTTGGGATACCCAGATCTCAGACAGTGTTTTAACCCACTGTGCCATGACTCTAGTCATGTAAAATTTCTCTTATACTTTAAACTGAAAAGATCAATCTTCCCTTGCAGTAAAGACTGTTAACAATGAAGTCTAGTGGCTTCTATTATAAAAAGGTCTTTTGTTTTTCTCAATTATGCAATTTTCCTGATTCAAGTGTCTTACGGTATCAGGAAGTTATGCTCAAGTTCCTTTTGTGGAGTACCTCTGCTTTGCCTTAAGGCAGGGTTCCTTGTGCATGACAGGAAGAGGTTACCACATTCAGGTTCCAGCAACTGGAAGAACCACACTGTGGCCTGAAAACGGCATAAATTCCATTGCACACATTCCACTGTTAAAACTTCATCTAATGATTCCTTTAGTTTTAAATGATACTGAAAACTAGTTCAGCTGTATCCTCTTCTGCCCAGTTATCATTCCATTAGTATCAAGTCACGGGAGGACAGACTTGTGTACAGTCACTGTAATTGAAAGCTAGTATCTACATAAAAATGTTAAACAATTTATGTTCCCTAGTTGTATGTCATATATTCTTTAATTTTCTAGTAAATATTAGAGTATGAGTCAAAGCAACATAAAATGAATATATAAGTTATAAATAGCTTTGATACTATATACTGTAATTAATAGAAAGATGGTGATTGCTTTATAGATTAAAAAACTCTGACCATTCAGTTTGCCAATAGCCATCCTTATGAATGAAAAATTAAGATGCTATTTACAAATTGGTAAATTTTGCATTAGATCTTCTTCTTGAAAGTCTGAAGTCTCTGATAATTATATATTTCTTTTTTTAAGTTTTATTTATTTTTATTGGAAAGTCAGATACACAGAGAGAGGCGGAAAGAGAGAAAGGAAGATCTTCCATCTGATCATTCCCTCCCAAAGTGGCCACAATGGCCAGAGCTCAACAGATCTGAAGTCAGGAGCCTAGAGTGTCTTCCAGGTCTCAAGACTTTGGGGCGTCCTTAACTGCTTTCCCCAGCCACAAGCAGGGAGCTAGTTGGGAAATGGGACTGCTGGCACATGAACCGGTGTCCATATGGGATCCTGGCGCATACAAGGGGAGTATTTTAGCCACTAGGCTATTGCTCCGGTCCCTGAAAATGATCTATTTCATGTATTGCTTGAGCCATACCCTGCTTCCTTTTC